ATCGTACGTAGCAGAATTTTCACTGATATAATGCCTAAGGCAACAGAAACAAATGAAAATATGGACACATGGGACTAATCAAACTCAAAAGCTTCTGCACAGCAAAAAAAAAAAACAAAAAAACAACAAAAAAGAACAAAACAAAAAAAATAACCATCAAATTGGAAAGGGAACTCACTATATGGGAAAGTATATTCGCCAACGATACATCATATAAGGGGTTAATTTCCAAAATATATAGAGTACTTATACAACTCAAAAGGAAGACAAAGTACCCAATTAAAAAATGGGCAGAGGACGGACCTAAATAGATACCTCTCAAAAAGGACACACAAATGGCCAAGAGACATGTGAAAAAATGCTCAACATTGCTAATCATCAGAGAGATGCAAATTAAAACATCTATGAGGTATCACCTCACACCTGCCAGAATGGCTGCCTTCAACAAATCATCAAACAATAAGTGCTGGTGAGGGTGTGGCAAAAAAGGGACTCTAGTACACTGCTGGTGGGAATGCAGACTGGTGCAGTCACTATGGAAAGCAGTATGGTGTTGCCTCAAAAAATTAAAAATCGATCTGCCATTTGACCCAGTAATCTCACTTCTAGGAATATATCCTAAGAAGCCTGAAACACCAATCAGAAATAATATATATACTCCTATGTTCATAACAGCACTATTTACAATAGCTAAGATCTGGAAACAGCCCAAGTGTCCATCAGTAAATGAATGCGTTAAAAAAGCTGTGGTTCATATACACAATGGAATACTATGCAGCTGTAAGAAAGAAAGATCTCTTATCCTTTGAGATGATATGGAGAGACCTGGAGAGCATTATGGTAAGCAAAATAAGCCAATCAGAGAAAGACAGATACCACATGATCTCACTTATTTGTGTAATATATTGAACAAAATAAGCTGATGAACAAAATAGACTCAGAGACATAGAAAGGAGTATGGTTCAGACTGACAGACCTCAGAGGAGGGGGTTGGAGGGGATGGATGAGATAAACCAAAGAATTTATATGCATGTACTCATAGCCAATGGACATAGACAACAATGTTGTGTAGGGAGGGATGGCGAGGAGGGTGTCTAGGGGGAAAAATGGAGAAATATCTGTAACAAAATTAAATTAATAAAAATTGAAAAAGTAAAATAAATATAAATGGAAAAAGCAACTTAAAGACTAGACAACTCTACATAAAAAGTAAAATAAAAAATATTATTATATTTAATGACAATATTTATATATGCTTGCGTGAGGAATGATCACAGGATTGTACTAAAAACGTATTTTTCATTTAAATAATTTAAATTAAAAACTAGAAATAGGACTAAGTTTTTGTTGGGTGCCTTATTAATTCTAATAAAAAAACTTATATTTAGTCTTCTTACAACCATTCATAATTTGAATGTATGTTGTATATCACCTGATACTTAAGGCAAATCCACCAGGACTTACTCTTGATACATGAACAGAGACTTTATATTCAGTCTACTCTCAAATATTGCCATTAATATTGAACACTGGGGCTTGAATCCTGTGCTTTCTAACTGATTGATTCCCTCCATTTCAAGGGCCAGCAACACTCCCCAAATATGGGGTGCAATTCAAAACAAACAGAGAATGGAATCATTATACGTGGTTGTTATTCAATGCGATTATCTAAAGAGTCCCTAGGTTAGCTCCAAGACTTTCATTCTTTGGGTGAGATTTTTGCATAGAGACGTGATTAATGAGCATTTAATTTGTCTTTCTTTCCAGGAGGAATTAGGACTTTATCTGGGAATTCTGATCCTCGTGTTTGGGGACTGGGACGACATACCACCGTATTTCAGTATGAAGGCGTTCAGGGACTTCAGACTCTTGTAAAGCTCCTCAGCACGCTTCCTGCAGCAACCTTAGGAGGGAGTCTTAGCTGATCTCTGTGTTCAGGTAGGTTAAAACAAACACTTTACTTATTGCTAATTCTAGAGGTGTGGACCAGGCCTCTTGGAAGCTGATGAATTCAAATCAGACCTGGGACTGAACTAATATCTGCTCTGCTGTCTTTTCTCAGCTCTGCCCACTAACTGCTAAGTGAAAGTGATGAAAATATAACTTAAACAACAGTGTCCAGCATCCGTACTCGTAAATGAGGCTGCTTGAGCATTTATACAGAATAATGAATAGTCATTACAGGGAGTATGTTTCACCTTAACATAAAAAGGATTTTTTTTACAATGGAACTGGCAGAATTGATGGATGTTTTAGAGGGCACTCTACACTGGATGGAAACTTCTTAAGTGTCTTTGTCATATGAGGTCTATGTCTTCAAGAAAGACCTGCTAAATTACTTGACATCAATAAAAACAAGTTTTTCTCCCCTTCCTGCTTTTGGTATTGCCTAGGAGGACAAACCTGAGGATGAAAAGTGTCCCTGATGTCAACAGTTAGTCTCTGTGTTGGTGGTGGACCTGAGAGCTCATATCAGGATGCAGTGTTTGTTCCTAAAACAACCAATGTGTAAACAAATTTAAGACAGTCTACATTTAGAGATTCATGAAACATAGTCCTGAAATCATACCTGAAAATAATTAAAAAATGAATATGCACTATCATTTATTATTAAAATTATAAGATAAAATGATTAAAATCAGGTACATTTTAAATTTTTTATTTGCTGAGAATGTATTATCTTGGTAGACCTATAAAATATTTATATTCAAAAACATTTTAAAAATTATTGGTAAAAATTTTAAATTGCTCTTTTCAGGAGCAATGCTAAATCAGACAAGAGCTGAAGAAACAAGAGAAAACAGAGGCTGTTCTGGAGAACTTTTTTCAGTGACTATATGTACTGAACTAAAAAGCAATCCTAGCTTTACCTTTAGTTATACTGCAGTAGAAGAGCAAATACAGAATAGGTAAGTATATTTTCATATACTCTCCTTTTCAAAAGCTAATTGCACAGATTCTTAGTAGATAATCAATAATTGCTATGGTTGATGCTCTTTTTTGTTCTTGTTAAGTGAAGGATAAATTTATCAAATACTTTATCTTGGAGTAAAACATGCACTGAGTCACTTGGTGTGGAGCAAAGAAATGGAATTATTTGGTCAGTGACTGTTGCCTCCATGTTTTCCACCGAAAGCTAACCGATGCAATTCTTTTACATGTAGTGCAACACCATCAGATTAGCTCACCAGACGCACACCCGATGTATGGAATTAAGCATCTTTAAATGAAAACAAACAAACCCAACAGTTTCAAGAGCTGTATGTTGTGGGAGAGCCCAGCCTGATTTGCTTGTTAAGTACATAGCTGGAATCCTGTGTCTAGGTTTCTTAAATATGCAAAATTATAATGCACTTGCTGTTTCTCTGTTAACTATAAAAGCCCTCAGTAAGGTAGATAGGTTACCAGGGCTGAAATAATAAACCACATTTGAAAAATCATCCAAAAGATGCTAACAAGATTAACTACTGGTACCAATTATTTTGCATTCATTGTTATTAGGAGCTGTGCTAATTAACCTATACATATGTATTATCTCATTTAAACCACACACTATAAAAATAGAAATACTTGAAAAAATTCACACAGCTAGTAATTAGTGAACTAACAAGCAAACAACCAACTAACCAAGCAAACAATACACATAAAAATATAAAACCATACTATTAACCAATATCTTATGCAGATTCTGTGATTAAATTAATCTTATTAAAACTCAATAGTCTCATCAAACACAGAAATAATTACATCTTCTAGTGCTTTCTTGCAGAATAATGAGATCATGGTTTCCAAATGCCTAGCACAGCTCTGAGCACAGAGTGGGTACACACTAAATAATATTAGGGCTCTCCCCCATTCACTTTTCTATCCAGTTAAAACAAGGTGATCAAGCTTTAACAAATCAAACCTGTAAGTCATAACTTAAAAAAATCAAAACAGGCTTTAAATAATTTAAAGGAAGGCAGTATAAGCTGGAAAGGGAAGGAAAGGCGACCAGAACAAAACAATAGAGACAAGTCTGAACAACGAGAGGTCAGAGCAATAGGGCAGGACCGGCTTCATTGGTCAAAAAAAGGAAATGTTTCTGAACAATCTAAGATGGAACAGTGTTGAGGTGTGGTCTGTGGGAAACTGAAGTATAACTGTGAGGTAGAAACTGATAGGAAAAACCCAGGATACTGACTGTTTTCCATAGGAATATTGAAATTCTCAAGAACGATGATGACAAGATATGGGCTGGAAAGAAGGCCTGTGGCAGCGTAAGAAAAAATTACTGGGCCCTGGCCGGTTTGGCTCAGCGGTGGAGCATCAGCTTGCAGACCAGAGAGTCCTGGGTTCGGTTCCCTCTAGAGCTACTTAGCAAAAAGAAAAAGAAAAAATTACTGGAAGCGACTCTGGCTCATCTGTTTCTTATAGGTAACTCTGTTTTATCATAGGAAACATAAACACAAACATACACACACACAGAGTTATGTGTGTACACGTAAATATATGCATGCATGTACATATATTAAAACAAAAGTAAATATTAATGTAATTAATATATGCATATACATCTTAATACATCTAATAATATAAGAAATTAATCTATATTCACCCAATGCAAACTATATCCACCAGTGAATAAATAAGTTAGTATCTTAGTCATGAAACAACTCTAAGATTTTGCAATTGGTTTCTGGAGAGTTCGGATTTTTGAATTTTGTGAAAAGATAGGGAGAAAACAAGATCTGAACAAAAATAAACTGATCGATATACAGATGATATATCATAGAATCATACACTCAGAACATACATAATTTTACTAACCAATGCCACCGCAATAAAATTAATAAAAAATAAATTTAAAAATAAATAAAAGGCAATAAAGAACAATAAATAAATAAATACACTGATTTTAAATGAAACTTGTAACAATCTGGCTTCAAACAGAGAAACCATTTTATTGTCTATTAATTTCTTTTCCTTTTCCTCATTCATTGATGAAAGCAACAAAATCAATGGCTCCAGCAAATCTCTCCCAGGTGACTGAATTCGTCCTCAGGGGCGTCTCAGACCGTCCGGAGCTCCAGATTCCACTCTTCTTTGTCTTCCTGGTCCTCTATGGGCTGACGGTGACAGGGAACCTGGGCATCATCACCCTCACCACTGTTGACACTCAACTGCAGACTCCCATGTACTTCTTCCTCCGGCACTTGGCTATCATCAACCTTGGCAACTCTACTGTCATTACCCCTAAAATGCTGGTTAACTTCCTGGTTTTGAAGAAAACTATATCCTACTATGGATGTGCAGTGCAAATGGGTGGATTCATAGTTTTTATCGTGGCTGAGATTTTCATGCTGGCCGCAATGGCCTATGACCGCTACATGGCTATTTGCAACCCCCTGGTCTACATGGTGGTAGTGTCTCCACAGGTCTGCCTTTTGCTGGTGTCCCTCACGTATGTCTACAGTCTGATCACAGCACTGACAGTCGCTTCCTGTGTGTTCTCTGTGTCCTATTGCTCTTCCAATGTAATCAACCATTTTTACTGTGATAACGTCCCCTTGTTAGCATTGTCGTGTTCTGACACCTACGTTCCAGAAACAGCTGCGTTTGCCTTTTCAGGAGTCAATTTGATTTTCTCTATGATTGTTGTTCTCATATCCTACCTTAACATCATCCTTGCCATCTTGAGGATACGTTCCTCAGAGGGGAGACAAAAAGCCTTTTCCACTTGTGCTTCTCACATGATGGCGGTCACTGTGTTCTATGGGACTCTTCTCTTCATGTACCTGCAGCCCAGGACCAACCACTCATTAGATACTGACAAGACAGCCTCTGTCTTCTACACCCTCGTGATACCAATGCTGAACCCCCTCATTTACAGCCTACGTAACAAGGATGTGAAGGATGCATTGAAGAGATTCCTGGATAACCCATGTCAATCATTCAAACTAAAGTAAATTTAAAATGACAACTACCTTAATTTAAGGATTTTCTTTTGCTTCTGAAAATTCTGCTATTGAGAAGCAATAAATAGTTTAAAATTCCATTAATTTCAGTGGGGAAAATTCTTAATCCCTTTGATCCCACCCCCAAATACCCATTTTCCCTTTAGAAAAATGCATTAGTTGCAGAGTTACATACGTAATAAACAATAATATTAAAATAAACACACTTTTAAAATGAAGTTTAAGTTATTAAAGGGTTTTTATAATTTATTTTATTTTAAGATATTTTTATTAATTTTTTTTAAGAGAGAGAGGAAGGTAGAGGGAGAGAGCAACATCGATGTGAGAGCGAAACATCAATCAGTTGCCTCCTGTACACCCTCTATGGGGGTTCGAGCCTGCGATCCTGGCATGTGTCCTGACCAGGAATTGAAACGGCAGCCTTTTGGTGCACAGGACAATGCCCAACCAACTAAGTCACATGGCCAGGTTGAGTTTTTATAATTTCTAAATAAGAACAGTAAATCCTGATGGTTGAAGGTGAAGACATGCACGATGCATTTCTGGGAAAGTGGTTGAGTGAGCTCATCTTTCTGGCTACAGATACCTTTTTTTGTCTTGAGCTTAAAATAAATTTATATCACAGAGGAAAAAAATGAACCATTAAAGGAAAATAAAAACTAAACAAAAAATGCTTAGGTAGACATGAAAATAAGAAATAGGACATCGGGTAAAACAGACTGCAAAAAATATGTAAAATGGGATTCTACTTTTTTTAATCCTTTTCACTTTGTCCCTTTCACTTGGCTTATATATATACAGCAAAATGTTGCTATTCATTCAAATGCAATGTATATTCAATTTTTCCAAATTATAGTCTTATACTAAAAACTATTATGTGAGTTGTTGTTGTTATGCAATCATAACAATAAACACTTCTTTTAGCATTTTTATTATTGGGTTTTAGAGTGAAATGTTAGACAAAAAAAAATGTTGTCCTCAAAGTGACACCAATTCTTAAGGGCACTCATAGCCCTTCCCCCCAAAATGTTGACAGTCATCACGTTGCCATGTCTTTGTCTGTCTGTGTAAAACATCCCTAACATTTCATGGAGTAAAGGAGGGTGGGCGTGACATGCAAAGTAAAGACAATAGAAATTGGCACAATTCAGAATTTTTTAAATTCAGAAGCAAAATTGAGAAATTTTAAGGTTTGCGATGGAGATTTTCTGGTCCCTGAAGTTCCAGATGAGTTTGGTTTGAGCAGCTAACGCTCTCTCAGTGGAAGTCCACAGGCCTTCACACCCGGCACCCGTTGTCCCAGGTCACATCTATCATCACTTTCTGAAGGGCAACCTGCAATAGCCACGTCCATGGGGGGAAAAAAGCCCTTTCAAAGAAATCCTAAGAAAGTGAACTCACTGCAGACATGGGTGGAGGAGGCCAAAGAAAGGTTATGGTGTAGCATCAAGCCTCCTCCTCACAGTAACTTAACTACTGGGTTCCCCACTTGCCCTCTGTATTCCCCAGCCTCACACCATTATGATGACTCCTCTCCTACCCCTTCTTCTTGCTCTTCCTTTCTTTTCTCTTTATTTCAATTAAAGGTATACATTGTTTCCTTCCTTCTTGTAAACAGAGCTATTACTTTATGAAGCTTGAGAGCCTTCCATAAAGCATGCCCCCAGATGTCGCCTTCTGTTCCAAGCTTCTGTCCAGGATTGCTTTTGACCCTTTCAATACTTGTAAAGTATTTTTATATTATCTTGGAGTAATTGTATTGACAAAAAGAGCCATGAACGTAAACTCTTCACTTCCTCTCACAAAATGTAGGTGCATTGGGGTTAACTAAAACATTAAACTAAATATTAAAATATAAAATTTTTAACTAAATATCGAAATAGATACTTCTTATAAAGTGATCCTAACCACAAAAGAATTTTGAGGTAGAATGGTCAGAAGAGGTTATTAATGATTTTTAAAAAACACTTTATAACATTTATACCTCAAAGATCCAATAGAATATATTACTGAATGATAAAGATTATTAATGCTTCCACAATCATGAAACATGATTATTTTATTTATTTATTTTTTTCAATCCTCACCCAAGGACATTTTTCCATTTTTTGTTCAGGTAGAGTGGGAGGGAGAAAGAGAGAGAGAAACATCAACGTGAAAGGGACACATAGAGTGGCTGCCACCCACACGACCAACCAGGGCCAGGGACAAACTGTAACCAAGGTACGTGCCCTTAGGAGGAACCAAACCTGGATCTCTCTGGACCACAGGCGGATGCTCTAACCAGGGAGCCAAACTGGCAGGGCGCAACATGATTATTTTAAGACATGGACTCATGTGACTATATAACACATTAGTTTAAAACACTTTATGAAATATCGAGTAAGAAACTTTTTCATTTTATTTTAACTTACCTTTATTGTTGAATGTATTACAGATGTCCTCCCCCTTTTTCCCATTGACCCCCTCCTCCCCAATCCCACCCCACTCCTGCCTTCCCCAGACTATTTTCGGTGTCCATTGGTTATGCATATATGCATAGAAGTTCTTTGGTTTATCTCAACCCACCCTCTTTCCCTCCTTCCCTTTGAGGATCATCAGTCTAAAAACCAAGTTGTACTTCCTAATCCTTTCATCTTTTTCACCCAACTATTCTCCCATCTGGCAACCAACAAAATGTTCTCTGTATCTATGAATAAGAAACTTTATGTTATGATGTGGATGCACAAAATATTGCTTCTTAGTCACTGAATAATCTAAATAGCTGTCAACACATCCTTGATCGAGGTGGCATCTTCACTTCTGTTGGAATCATTTTTCTTCCTCTCTCACAATGTTGCAACATGTTACCAACACTTTATGACTTGACAATAGAAAACCAGAAGCTCTACAACAGAAAGTCACTCTGGAAAGTCACTCAGGACAAGTATACCACCAGGCTTATGAAGAAGAAGGTGCTGTGACACCTCCCATGAGTTAGGCTGCAACCCAGCCTACAAGGAAGACAAGCAACAGCCTAGCCATGTGCTTAACAGGAAAAGGAAAAAGATCTGGTGGTCATCCAGCCCCCTCTGCTACTGGGTGTCAGTGTTCTGGGGCACTTCGATGGCTACTTCATCAGCATTACCCCAAAGTGTCAATCTTGTTCCTATTATGGACATTCAAATATTAAAATATTGTGTTCATTCATCTGTTATAATTTATGAACTTTTGTGTTGACATAGACTGTGCTTAACGCATCTTTCTATTTCAAATCCAAACCCCAGTTATTTTTTAAAATTATATTTTAAGACAAGTAAAACAATTTTAGTCTTAAAGCTAAAATTATTCAGCTCTCAAATTAAATCTGATGTAATTGTTTATTGTAATCCCTTACTATATGTACAATCAATATGTATTCATAAATTTCCAGAGTATGAAACTCTAGGGGTATTGATGGTGGAATGTATATTGACAAAAGAAATATTGAAGGAGATCTGTGTTTATTTAAGTAAGTTAAATGTGCAATTTTTTTCCCAAATTGGGCACCCACTTCAGGAGATATTTCACAGAGATATTCATTTATGCATCAGTGGGGACCATACACACAATTATTAATTTTTTTCACTCACTCTTTTGTTTTATTTAGTGAAATAAAATACAGATATGAACACAGTAGCAACAGAGCATACCTTTTGAAAAGTAGAAATAGACTTATACAGTGTTGTGTCATTCTCTGGCACTACACTTAAAATATATATATATATATATTTTTATCTATCAACAATTACTTTATTTATTTATTTTTTATTAATTAATTTATTTTTGTTACAGATGTTTCCCACTGATTCCTCCCTCCCCCTCCCCCCTCCCTGTCCCCAGCTTCCTTGTCCATGTCCATTGTTCATGCATACATGCATATAAGTTCTGTGGTTTATCTCTCCCCCACCACCCCCTCTTCTGGGGATTGTCAGTCTGTACCTCACTTTCACATCTCTGGGAGTACCCCATTTCTCAGACTCTTATGTTCATTATATTCCACAAATAAGTGAGATCACATGATACTTGTCTTTTTCTGTTTGGCTTGTTTCGGTTAGGATGATACTTTTCATGTCTCTCCATGTCATCTCAAAGGATAAGAGATCTTTCTTTCTTACAGCTGCATAGTATTCCACAATTGTTAATTTTGATGATGCTTAAAAAAGACAAGAGTTGGCACTTAATAAATGCCCATTACTATGGAAACAAACATATATGAAATGAGGGTAGACCCAGATAATAGCAATTTTATTAAACAGAAATCAGCCAAATATTGGTTTGTATGTAGTAAATGAATGTACTTCAAAACTATATAGTTGAGTGAGAACTTTTAGGTACAAGTTATATAATAACATATTTGCACATTAAAATGTATATTACATTTACTTTAGAAGTCTGTATTCTTTTTAAGGACGTATATCAACTTCTGTAGAGAAAATTCCTGTGTGTGGTAGAGAAATTGAAGATAGGAAATGAAAACTGATGATCATTATGAGTATGGAATTAGGGTATCATTAACTCAATGTAGTCCCTTATATTAAGAAAAATAAAAGTAAGGGTTATACACATATTCTCAATTTTTATTTTTTCTGAATCTTTTAAAACACTATAGAATATGTTTAAAGAGTTTTGTCTTCATTCGCAGACACAACATTGGGAAGAACTCACTGTGGGAAATATAGTGATAAAAGAAGATAATAATGAAGAAAAGCAGGTAAATTGTAGAAAAAAACACCCCCAAAATATTTTCTCAATAAAAAAAAAATTAAAGGTACCCTGAGTAATTAACAAAAACCTTGGAATAATTGCCAGGTCTCTGATACTTTGGGAATAACCAAGAAAATGCAATCAAGCTCCCAGGGGAGTGTCTCAAAGGAGAGAGACGATCATAAATTCTTCTGACTTCAGGTAGGTTTGTAACTACATCGGGGAATAAAAATTCATTTCCCGTTTGAGGTGAGAATATGGCACTT